AGATGATCAAATGCGTTGTCGGAAATGTACTGCTTTGCAGCAAGTTTACTCTCGCAAACGGTTTCGAAGTAGGCTAGCGCTCAGATCAGAAAGCGTTGCTGGGCATTTATTCAGCCTTGGCTCACTATTTGGCAAAGCGCTTTATTCCAATGTGATTTCACAGCAACTGTGCCATTTAAATATTGACCACCAGCGAATGTAAGCGCTCAGGATGGTGCACACCATGCTCGTACCCTCACCAGTCAACCCTGTGACATCACCGCCTTTTCATGACTTTTAATGGACAGCTTACTTAGCTAAGTCAGGGGTTGGGGGCGGGGGTCAAGTTGAAAGGTGGCGGACGTCCATCAGTCAGTCAGGTGAGGAAAAGGACCTCCTTTGTTCAACCGCTAAAGCATGTGGCCTGCCGCCAATTATGTGTAACACTACATCTTCTTCAGTACAGTCCGAGTGGATTATTAGGCCTGCACGGAGTTTGACAGCCTTCACGCAATATTGTGCAAGGGCCCTCCACTCACCTTCTCCCCGCTGCTTCAGCGTAATCTGGCAGATGGAGAGTATTTGCAAAAGGGGGATGCGGAGGGAGTGAGGGGCTCTCACCCAGCCCGAGTACATTTCAAGGTGGGTGTAGAAATGTGTATCAAATTAACTCTTTGGGGCCTCCGAGCAATCACAGCTTTGTTATTTTAGGCTCTCGGGCGAAGCCAAACTGGATTCGATGGCTCGGCCAATTACCTGTAATTTTCCGAGCCGCTGCGCCGGCTTTCGCCAGGCCGGCGGCGAACACTGGACCACTGTCTCCCGCCGCTCCGTCGCAGTGTTCAACCTCAAGTGAACCCCCCCACAAATAGTTTGTGTCCATCGCAGTAGCACCTTTTGGAGATTTTCACAGAAACCAGAAACCCGAGGCGATTACTCACTCAACTGCAGATGTATTTCCAAAACGGTGATGTCAAGTGATTTAAGAGTTGCCGTTTTGTCCCATTCATACTGTCGTACATAACATCCTAATTTGTTGTTCCACCTATTGAGCTTCGACACGGTACTGTGACCGCAAAAAATCCATTTCAACGCAGATATTTGGTCTTAAACATCCGTAATGTAAGGGGCGATTGATGATATCAATATCGTACTGTGAAAGCTCACATTAGTATCACTATTTTCCCCACCCTAGTATAGATACTGTGCTTTGAGATCTAACGATACCAATACCACTATTGATATTTTGATCCAAGCGCCCTTATCAATAAGTAGCATGAAAGTTAACGAGATGCTGCATATTGTCCAATTATGTGTAGTGTGCTGTCACGTAAGATCTAATGATACTGTATGATACTAATCAATGATACGTTTTCCCCATCCCTCATATTAATATTTTACCATGAATGCTAACGACATGATGCATTTTGGTATATTGTCCCACCCCCAGCGTCGATATTGTACCACGGGAGCTAAAGGTACGCATTGCAATAGCCGGCATTTTCTCTCACTGCGTGCGTGTGGGTTTGTGCACTTGGCGTTTTCCCCTTCAGAGTCACTGAAGGAGAGCGAGCCGCTGGCAGTAAAATGCTAATTAAGTGCAACGTGGCACACAAGGACAACGCACAACGGATGCGGGAGTCCGTTTTAACCCATTTTGTCCCGGACTGGCCACGTCACTGTGATACTCACGAGTGACTGTACTTCCCTTTGTACCACGATTGACCTTTTCAGATGGCTGGATAAACGGGTAGATGCAATGATAAATAAGGCAGTTGTTTAAAAAAAAAAAAGGGGGGGGGGCGCTTTGGTACCGAACTTCCACAAGGGGTTCACAAAATACTCCTCCTCTTATCAGGATGACCTTGACCAGGTCCTATCCGTCATAGCTACGCAGTTGCCGCCTCTTTACAGCTCCTTGGGCTGCTTTTTAGGGAAAGATAAAGCAGTTAGTTTAAGATGTCCGCCCAGGTTGTTAAATCCCAATTCTGTTGCCCCGGGAGATGCTGCTCGGAAAAGCGCAGCCCGCCCGTATGAATTGGCTTCCCCCTTCAACTCCCCTTTGGCAGCACTGGGTGAATTTCCAAGTGATCTGATAAGTTGGAGCAGAACACGACGCCTGGACGGGAGCTGGGAGGCGAGACCAAGAGGCAGATGTTATCAGCGGCTGTGTAAAAGCCGTCCTAATGCTCCTCAGTGGCATTTAGTGCATTTACTCTTGCTTTTAAATTTCGCAATTTATCTCACGTGACGGCAGTTAGCTCCTCCGACTTTTGCTGTGCTGCTGTTTTGGCTGGCAACAGAGTTTCAGTGAGCTCAGCGGTTATTTCTTTGTCGTGTCAATGATAACGATGCGAGATCGTCGCGGTTAAATGATTCAAATATAAAATAAGAAAGCTTCTATTTGAGAGTGAGTCGAGTATTAGTATAACATAGCGCAGACAGCGCACGGCAAGTGTAGTTATGCTTTTTGCCCATCTGGCGCTAAATATCCTGTAATTCTCTCCAGGCTGTGGAATTAAGAGAGGGGAGGGGTGGGAAAGGAAAAAAAAGAAGCTTGCCTTCCCTGAAGTGTCATTCTTAAAATAGATTTTTTTTTTTTTTTTGTCCATTTCATCATCCAGTTGTATTTTAAGATGGGTGACACCTCAGCATCCATCACAGCCAACCACCCATCAAGCGCACACACTCACGCAATGGCGGGACGCTTCCACAACAATGTGACTTCTCCCACTGTGAACAAAGTCTTCCATCCGTTCTCTTTTTCTATTTTGGGGGCTCGCGCTTGTCCTCATTTGGGTGGCGAGCGTGCTGAAGCCCGTCCCAGCTGACTTGGATTAAGAGGCGGGGTACACTCTGGACTGGTCGCCAGCTCATTCGCTTCAGTCTTCTACCGTTTAGTTAACACTTGACACGGCCAAATCGTCCGAGCGGCAATTGGGCCACAGAGATCATCCTGACTTGCAAACGTGACACCCCCCGCCCCCGATATCCTCGCCACTCAATCCCGTGCCGCGGCGCAACCACTAAAGACTTTGCCGTCTTCCGTTTCACAGTTGCGGATGCAAACTGGAATGTGACTTGGCGCTCGGCCGGACACCGCTGGAGTCGCAACTGTGGGACTTTTCTGCATCGGGTTGCTGCGGTATTCCCTTGATTTGAGCGGCAGGCTCTTGGGAACCAAGACATGTTGGATTCTCATTGCACAATGATAACTTTCCACTGGCCTTGAAAGGTCCAAGAGTGAAAAGCCACCCCCGGTAACTGTGACAATGACAATCTGCTTAATTTTGGACCTCTTTTGGTGCCTATAATTAAAAATCAGTCTCTGTTGTCCTCTCCCTTTAGTGTTGGGTATGCGTTTTAGGAAATCCTCTCTTTTGTTAATAATATGTCTGCGCCATGTGTCTCACGCAACGCAAATGAGCGATTGTAAATGTGTTGTGCTGGGCCAGTGGTGAGTTCAGAGTTTGTTACCAAGACAACCAAGGCGCAACTCTGACAATACAGGCGTCTACTTGTCAGAACCGAGCCCCAAAAGAAGACAAACTCATGACGTTGCGCTTTCCTAAAAAGGAGACAAGCTTTCTGTGTTGTACTTGCCGCAAAAAAAAAAAAAAAGGCGGCCAAGTCATGATCTTTCTCTTTCCTCAAGAGAAGACAAACTATTGAAGTTGCACTTTCCTTCCCTAGGATACTCCTTCGGGCATCAGTTGATATCGTTCCACCCTTGACTTCTGGGAAATGTGGCGTCATGGTTCTGGCACAGGAGCAGCGAGCTTTTCAAAAGTTCTGAGGCCCCGAGGATATTGGAGCGAGCCTCCGGGTTCCTTTGATCAGCGGCGGATTTATTTGGAAGCGCTCGTGTCAAAAGACAATCTCCGTTTGACGCGCCGTTGGCACGCGGCAAAAGGAAGATGTCGAAGTAGCTGACGGGCCATTAGCGCAGTGTGGCTTCCGTGCCTTTTGTCTTCTTTTTGCTCTCGGGCAGATGGTACCCGCGCCGTCACGAGTCTTCACTCAAGCGCCATTGTCCGCCCGCCAAAGTGACTGTGTAGTCTTACCTTGTAGCTTTAATTGAGTGCTCACTCGCTCGCCTTTGCAGCTGATGTCATCGGGCTTTAATGAGCCCCAGAGAAAGTCGCCGGATTAAATGGATCAGTCGAAACTCTTTCTTATCTTTCTTTCTTTTCGTGGTTGTTGTTGTTGTTATTGAGTGCCCTACTGGTTTTGCAGAGCAGCTTGTTGCTGGAAAACAAGGTTAAGCAGATCTGTATCAAAGGAGAGCAGCGCTTCTGTGCGCCCCGTGTCAAGTTTCCACCTGAAACGCAAAGGTGTTTTCTTACCCGATTTGTATTCATTCACACAATGACCAACCGCACTTCTCTTGTTTCGGAGTAAGGGGAGCGCAGACCAGACTTTTGTTCTCCCATCATCAGATACGAGCGTGTTGTTCCCCTCACCGCAGGGTCTGTTCCAAAGTGACTACCCCCTTCCTCACCACTGTCCTTCTTCCCGCTCCTTTGTGCTCCAAAAGCTCCTCTTTAGATTCAATCCTTCCACCCTCAAACCCACAAATTAGTGGTTTCAAGTGTTTCGGTTGGTCGGAGCCATTCCGGCTCGTGTTACACTCTTCTGTATGCTGCACTGGGTAATTCCTTGAAGTTTGGGTAACTAGCTAGAAAGTGCAATAAGGCAGAAGTGGATGTTGAACTGGTCACTTGATCTTTAAAGCCAAATAAATAGATCAGAGTCCTCGTTACGTCGTTTGCGGAAAGTGACTTATTACCCCAAAAGTTGCATCATTTTTGCTGTGTGCTCGTGGCTAGCACAAGAAGCAGCAGTTTACATTGTTATTCAGCGCTCAGTACAAACAGATGGAACGCAATCTGACTTGAAATCCTTTCTTTAAAAAAAAAAAAAAAGCATGACACCGTCAAGCATTCCAAAAGTTGCACAGTTTAGAGCTCGGGTTCATTTTACATTTGAAATAATTTGGGTGTTTTTTGTTTTCCTTGCAGGGCTTTTTCCTGACCGTGTCCCCGGCGTCCATGATGAAGGTGGCCAAGCACGCCTCGGAAAACAACAAACTCTTCTGCATGAACCTGTCGGCGCCTTTCATCTGTCAGTTTTACAACGCCGCCATGATGGAGCTCATGCCGTTCGTGGACATCCTGTTTGGCAATGAGACGGTCAGTCCTGATTACTACTCGCATACAGTATGCGCGAGTCATGAATTAGTCTCAAGTCTTATCCGTGACATTTCAAGCAAGTCCCGAGTTACTGTGGCAAAAAAAAAAGTCAAATCTCAACTCGAGTGTGCGCAAAGGAATTCTCCACAGCCGAAAGAAAACACCCGTTTATGTCTTACTCCAGCACTTTGCGCAACCCGTTCCTCCTAATTGCATTGAGGAATGATTCCGCCTCCTGAGCCGCCCCGTGTGTGTTTTGCAAACACCGTGTGTTTTGCATCTGCGGCTACTGTAACCGTTTGCCTCAAGAAGTTCTCGCACACCCCGAGTCATTATTGACTTTAATGATTCGGGATAATAATTGCGTGCTTGCTGACGGATTAGCGTCGGAACACTCTGTCAGGACTCGTTCTCCAGGAACCAAAATAAGAGCAAACAGCGGCAAACAGAGCCGATATTCACCCGACGCCTCAAGCGGAGAGCGCCGCGGACGACTAATGTCTGCCTGCACTGTTTTGACTTCTGTTGGCCTCCCTCCACGTGGGCTTGTACGGTCCAGTCCCAGACCTCCCATTGTGCGCTTTGCGGATTAGCAGATAAAAAGTCATTGGCCTTCTTCCAATGACTTCAGGGCCAGTCGACGTCCATCCATCCGTTTTCTGTAGCGCTTTTCCTATTTCGAACTCGGCTTGAGCTGGATTTGAAAGTTACAACATGAGATTTATGACACGGGAGGAGAGTGACGACGCCAAATTTAGGGGGCTAACATGTCGTGCAATAACCCGACATTAATTGACTCCTCTCGCTTTGTCCCTTTGACCACCTGACACAGAAACAACCATCGATTCCACTTTTTTTATTTTTTTAATGGCGGCAGTTAATACTGCCCCCGACGAGAGAAATGATTACCGGTGATAAAATTAGCCGCGATTTACCAACGTGCTCTCTTGAGCGTCGGAGATAAAGAAGCACACAAAAGAAGGGCAGCGGGGATGAAACCATTACGCTCGGGTTTGCATTGCGGTATTTAAGAGAAACGGAACGATCATTACGGAATTAATCTCCCTGACTGATTGGGCTTTTAAGTGTTCTTAATGTCTGCATGCCATTTATCTATAGCCACGCTCTTTTGGGGATACGCCGTAAAGTAGTTTCACTCATTAACCAAAACATTTTGAATTTTGACCCCATTGCCTGAAACACGTCATTTAAAAGCGCTCTTGCGTGGATGTGTTGTAATAATCCCTGGAGGCCAATTAAGTGCACACGTGCCGCTTCATCTCGTTCCCATGGGAAGGTACAAAATGAGTGTACGTTTTCTGATTTTGAATAAGAAATGATCTCAAATAATAACATATATAATCCCTCATATTTTACTACTGGCAGCCCATGGTAAAGTCAAATCTCAACTCGAGTGTGCGCAAAGGAATTCTCCACAGCCGAAAGAAAACACCCGTTTATGTCTTACTCCAGCACTTTGCGCAACCCGTTCCTCCTAATTGCATTGAGGAATGATTCCGCCTCCTGAGCCGCCCCGTGTGTGTTTTGCAAACACCGTGTGTTTTGCATCTGCGGCTACTGTAACCGTTTGCCTCAAGAAGTTCTCGCACACCCCGAGTCATTATTGACTTTAATGATTCGGGATAATAATTGCGTGCTTGCTGACGGATTAGCGTCGGAACACTCTGTCAGGACTCGTTCTCCAGGAACCAAAATAAGAGCAAACAGCGGCAAACAGAGCCGATATTCACCCGACGCCTCAAGCGGAGAGCGCCGCGGACGACTAATGTCTGCCTGCACTGTTTTGACTTCTGTTGGCCTCCCTCCACGTGGGCTTGTACGGTCCAGTCCCAGACCTCCCATTGTGCGCTTTGCGGATTAGCAGATAAAAAGTCATTGGCCTTCTTCCAATGACTTCAGGGCCAGTCGACGTCCATCCATCCGTTTTCTGTAGCGCTTTTCCTATTTCGAACTCGGCTTGAGCTGGATTTGAAAGTTACAACATGAGATTTATGACACGGGAGGAGAGTGACGACGCCAAATTTAGGGGGCTAACATGTCGTGCAATAACCCGACATTAATTGACTCCTCTCGCTTTGTCCCTTTGACCACCTGACACAGAAACAACCATCGATTCCACTTTTTTTATTTTTTTAATGGCGGCAGTTAATACTGCCCCCGACGAGAGAAATGATTACCGGTGATAAAATTAGCCGCGATTTACCAACGTGCTCTCTTGAGCGTCGGAGATAAAGAAGCACACAAAAGAAGGGCAGCGGGGATGAAACCATTACGCTCGGGTTTGCATTGCGGTATTTAAGAGAAACGGAACGATCATTACGGAATTAATCTCCCTGACTGATTGGGCTTTTAAGTGTTCTTAATGTCTGCATGCCATTTATCTATAGCCACGCTCTTTTGGGGATACGCCGTAAAGTAGTTTCACTCATTAACCAAAACATTTTGAATTTTGACCCCATTGCCTGAAACACGTCATTTAAAAGCGCTCTTGCGTGGATGTGTTGTAATAATCCCTGGAGGCCAATTAAGTGCACACGTGCCGCTTCATCTCGTTCCCATGGGAAGGTACAAAATGAGTGTACGTTTTCTGATTTTGAATAAGAAATGATCTCAAATAATAACATATATAATCCCTCATATTTTACTACTGGCAGCCCATGGTAAAACAACTTTGACTACTGCAGCCGTCAATGGCGGTGATTGAGTTCAGAAACTTCCGGAGGGCTTATTTATAGGCACTCCGGCCTTGTCTGCTTCATTTTAATTGACTACACAATAGGTGATCACATCAAACAAAAGGCTAAGTGGGCATTAAACTGTGATTTGAAACGTGAGCTGCTGTAATTTCAAGCCGTTTAAGCTGTCCGCTTCCCCAGCCCGGCTATCGCAAAAGCAAAACAGTCCGCCTTGTGATTGACAGACCGATCACAAGGTGTCATTGAATGGAGGCAGAGACACGGGAGCATTTCAAGCCGCTCTCTCTTTCTCCGTGATGAGTCACCCGCCCGGAGAACGGTGACCTTCGCTGCGGCGTACAGTTATGGAGCCAGATGAGTCACGCTGCATATTAGCTGGGATCATTTGCTAAATGGAAGTTGGAGGGGTTGGGGGTGGGGGGGGGTACAACCTGCTCTAGTGGGTTTTGTCCATGTGAGAGAGACAGCAAAGGACACATGTCAGACATCCACCGAAGAAAAGCACAATGCCACTCTCTGAAGTTGGGATTTTTCCTAAAGCATTGCCACCCGAAATAAGATTTGTTGATGCTCGGCCTTGTTTTAAATAAAAAATTTAAAAAAAACAATCAAATTGGCAATTTTGAACACCCCACAACTTGCGAGAGGGGAGTTCTGCTGAAGTCTTGCTCCTCAATGCGGTGCCATTGAGTATTTCTTTTCGGTTTTGGCCTGGTTTGGAGCCAAAACTTGGTTATAAAACAAAATCAAATCATACCCTTTATGTTTTTTTAACTGTGTGAAGCGCAAACAAAGCCGGGAAAACTGCTCTGCTGCTCTCATGTCACTGAAATATTGCAACTTCATGAGCTCGGAGTGTGACTTGGCCTTGTTGGAAGCGAAGCCATCCGGGAATTTGGATATTTCAGAAGCTCAACCAGGGAAAGTACAATCCCTTCTTCACATGGCCTCGCTTGTACCCCAATCAAAAATACGGATGGAAGAGGAGATACCGTTGATGGTGCTGACGCTAGTGTTTTTCCTCAGACACCCGGCAGGCATTCCGAGATACCCCTACAGTCCTAATTACTGCTGCTCAGAGTTTGGCCGCTTGCTCCTGCAATCCTCTTATCCTCACAGAGTTGGCGGGTGCACAGTCCTTTGTCTCCTCGTGATTGTATTCCCGGCATTTGGCAGTCGTGTTCCGGGGCTTCGCTGTCATTCCCGTGCTTGGGAGATGACTGGCAAGCCGTCAAGAGCGCAATCAGCATGCGGCATCGCCCCGATATTACGGGTGCAGAAACAAGTTCAAAAACTTGTTTATGGAACTTCAGGCATCCCGATGCGAGTAGTCAAACCAGATGCTGCAGTGAGTCTACTCTATGTAGTGGAGTATGCATGGCTCCAAACAGTTTGGTAGCCATCACAAACATTTTTGTGGGTCTACTCGTGATAGATTGTCAAATTTCAGGTCGTGAGGTGAATTTTTCAAAGGGCTCACAACAAGCAGCGAATTTCACCATGCCTTAAGTACGACTTGGAACCAAAACGGCATCCTTATCGTGTCTTTTTGTGCTTGGCTTCTCCAACCTTTTTTTTTGTGGGTCTACTCATGATAGACGCGGTAAAACTGGCTTTGGGGCGGATTTTTCTTTTTCTTTTTTTAAACTGGATGCTTAACCCAGTCCACGCTCTCCTCGAGATAACACTTAAGTGTTTGCTGGCGTTTACGGCCGGAAAATATTGCCCCGACAGACAGACATCGTAAAAGGCACGTCGAGTAACTGGATATTGGCAAACTTCCTTGAGGGAGATAACGGCTACCGTCACACTCTGACCTCTTGTCCGAGCGCGAGGTGAGATGTGTGATGGAGACCTTTAGAGCTGATATTTAAGCCGCCTGACCCCCACACAGCGGCGCAAGGTCCCAGCGGGCGAAGGTTAACGCCGCTCGTCACAACCTCCCTTTTATGCAAACCGCCATCCCGTAATTGCTCTCGGATATATATATATACACACACTGCACAATTTCCGTGTTTTTAACGCCTGCCGCCCCTCCGCCACCGCTGCCCTTGTGGCAGTCAGTCCGACGGAGACGGATGGCAAGCCAGGCCGCCACCGCCGCAGGCGTGTTCTGGAGTGACGGGGCAAGGGCACGGTTATATTTGGATGTTTGTTAGCATGTCTCGTTCCACTTCGTCTCGGATCATTTTTTTCCTCCAGTGACTTATGAAGCCGTCCTACAGCTGCTAATGATTATATCATTGACAGCGTGTTTTGTTGGCAAAACGTCAAGCGAAGATGAAAAGTGGCACATTTCGTTGTGCTCTCATTTGTCTTGGGCATTAAATTGCCGACTGTGGATTATTAGCTTAAGCATGCTAAAAATAGCTTCTGGACTGTTTAATCCTCTGACAGCGGCAACATTCTCAGCGCACATTCTGATGGCTTTTTAGCCTCTCTGGCTGCACGCCGCCGAGTTACAAAATCTCGTTGGGCCCGGCGAAAAACATCTCTGTGTTCTTTGCGCCACTTTGGCCGGCGACTGGCAGGTTATCCATCCCGTCGCAGGCCCAGATGTCACTTGAAGTAGCCGGCATTGTGGCGACAGCTGTGACGGCAGGCTGAGCGCCATCGCGAAGCTATCGAGCTCAACATCCCAAAACAGCTTGTGTCACATGTAAAACGCACAGCAAGGCCATCAAAAATTGATGCGATGGGCTCCTTAACATGAATGTGCTATTTATGGCCCGTTATGTGATTTTTAAGACCCCCGCCGATGCAGCTTTAATATTTGGACCGTCACGGAATGACATGCGCTCATCATCCACAGGTTAGCGCGTCGGGGAAATTGCTTATTTTTATACATTTTTATCCATTTGTATCATGTAAAAGCTTGTACAGAAAAAAAATTAAAACCCGTTTTTTTATCAATTTAAACATGTATTTTTTTTTAATATACATTTTTTCATTGTTTTCATATGTGGTTCTTTTATGTTTATATTTATCACTTGCAGGAGGCGGCCGCATTCGGAGCGCAGTTGGGCTTCCAGGTGAGTTGTCCCCCAACAACATGCAAGCATGCTAACATGCTAAGGTTTCCTACTTTCTTCTTGATTTCTGCTGATACTGAAATTCTTTTTTGGACAGTGATTGATGCGCTATTACACTCGCCAGGCCTCGCTGCTGTTGCCATGGCAATCGGGCAGTCGTCATGGTTTCTTTGTTCAGCTGCCTCTCTCTCTCTCTCTCTCTCTCTGTCTGTCTCTCTCTCTCTCTCCTCGCTCTCTCTCTTCTCGCTCTCTCCGTGCACTCTTGCTCACCCAACATCGTGTACAGATGTTATTTATTGAATTTTTTTGAAAAGCCTTTTGGGAAGCCGATGCATCGGGCACGGCGTTCGTTCTCTTTTGACGCCAAGGCGAGATGGCACATGATACCCGAACATTTATAAGCTTCTTTTAAAAGCACACTAAAAAGCCTGCTTTTATTTTTGGGGGTGTGTCATCTTTTTTTAGAAGGTGTTCTCGGTTTTCCTGACCAAAAGAGAAGCATTGATGACATTTTGGCCCGACACGGGACTGCAGAATGGTGGTTGGGACCCCTGCCATGCAACACACATTACAGTGGACCCCCTCATACCTATTGCTGAGCACCCTTTTTTTTTAGCATTTTTAAATGCCTTAAAATATTTTTAGGGGTGCGAGTGGGACTTTGCATGTTGTCAGAATTGTTGGAGACCACCACACCCGCAGCCCGTTTTAGCGGCTAACCATCTGAATGATCTGAATTGGCCTCTCCTAGTTAAAGCCACTCACTTTGTGTCTGTCCAAATCGATAAAATTGTCCTCAATCTTTTATTTTGGTGGCTGTTTTTCAGCCGCGTGCCTGTCGGCCTCGCAAAAATGCCTCTGAGCGCCTTCAACCTGAGTCGAGCACCTTTTTTATGTCGGGAACATAAAAGCGAAGGGCGACAATGTGCCAAAGCCTTGTGTGCTTTTGCGTCGGCTGTCTGAGGGAGTGCTTGTGGTTATATGCGGTGACGCTGACAAACTGCTTTCTTCTTTTTCTTCCACCCGCTCCCCACCGTCTCCTCACCTTGGCTGGCAAACAGCCTCAGCATTAACCTCACCATTAGCACTTGCTTAGAGTGTTACACCTACTTTTCTCCCTCCTCCGCGGAACTCTCGGGGCTGATTAAATGATGGTTGGAAAGCGTTTAGAGGTGGAAAAGCTCACTGGTACGCATTGGGGTTTTTTTTTTTTTTTTTTTTTTTTGGAAACTGTCCGATTGCATTGCGGGTGCTTCATATCCCCCCGCCGTGGGGCCACCCACCATCACGATGCGTTAATAATAAAGCTTTTTTTTTTTTGGAACTGTCCGATTGCATTGCGGGTGCTTCATATCACCCCGCCGTGGGGCCACCCACCATCACGATGCGTTAATAATAAAGCGACACTGAGAGGTTTTTCACCGTCATGATCAATGTTTTTTCTTTTTCAGAAACTATGATCAATACTGTGCGTTCCACTTTGACCGAGAGTACATTGTGTTGATTTCAGCATCTCACCCACAACTTATGTGATCATTTTCTCGTATTGATCCACAGCACTTGATGGCTTCCCGCTGCTTTACCGCCTTGCTAAATTGAAAGCGGTGTGTTCCTGCGCATTTGTTTACAGACGGACGACATTGGCGAAATCGCCAGGCTGACCAAAAACCTGCCCAAGGACAACTTAACCAGGCCGAGGGTGGTGGTCTTCACGCAGGGCAAGGACGACACCGTGGCGACCACCGGTAAGCTTTTGCCGACTCGGCAACACGTACACTTCACGGTGAAACTGAAAGTCAAAATTGGTCTCACCGAGTCACATCCAAAATCTGCTCTTTCAATCTACCCATTCGAATCCGTCCCGATACTTTTGCCCTCACTGTATAGTTGCTCCTCCCAATTTGTCCAGCTGCTTTTTTTTCCCCGCTACCATTTGTCCAAATCGTTGAGTCCATATTTTAAATTTTGACGGGGTCTGCAGACCCCCGCCCCATGTGCGGCCCCCCTCTTTCAGATGTGTGGTGTCGTGGTCTCAAAAGATGGCCGACATAAAAGAGGCAAACTCCATCGGGCCGCCTTGACTTTGAAGTGAAGCTCCAGTATTGACGCCAGATGCCAAAAAAAGAAATTAAAAATAAACAAAGAAGGACTCAACACGCAGGCATTGATTTGTGAAGCACGCCAGACATTTTTTGAAGGCTTTTTCTCCTCTTTTGGGCTGCTTTCAGACCTCCCTCTTTGTCCGGCATGAAACCCTAACCCTCCTTGAAACCTGAACCCACTCTTGAAACCCTGCTTTGAAACCATATTCCAAATTTGACAACGCTAACCGTAATTTGAAACCCTGACCCTGACTTTGAAGCTTTATTTCAAACCCTGACTGTGGCTCGAAACCTTTATTTGAAGCCCTGGACGTCAGAAATAATAGTTTGTGATTACTGGTGGGAGCGTTTGGCCTTGCGGGCTGGTCTCCTCGATGCCCTTGCGCTTTTTATTTGAGTTTGCTGGCCTCAGGTAAGGACTCCCATCACATCTCTCCGTCCCCCTTCCCCAGGAGACCTGTTAGCGCCACACTCGCTCTGCTCACATTCTGCTACATTCATTGTCTTTTTTTATATTCCATTTCTTTGCCAGCATATTTTCTCTTTTATCAGCCGGCTGCCCTTTTCGCTCGGGATAAAAGAAAGGTGAAAGCGGCCGTAATTGTTCCGACAACGGGCGCAGCCAGCGTGTTGCCTTTTGGACTCAACGACCGATTCCTGATTTGAATCGCCCCCCCGCTTAGCTTAAAGGAAAAGTAAATGGCACTTTTGTTTTGTTTTACAGAAAATAAGAGGAGGAGTGCATTATGACTTGAGGATAAAATCTTCGATTTCCAATTTTGATTGTTTCTCCCCTTTGCTAATAATAGAAAAAGCAAATGGCAATGACAGCCAACTAAAGTCATCAAATAGCCAAGTCGGCAATACCGACTGCGCTTTTGTAAATGAACTCGTCTCTGCTCGCAGCCTTGTTGTGACTGGACTACTTGATCAAATCTAGCGGAACATTGGGGCTCGTATCAAGTCAAACGCGCAGTGTGCCTTGAACAAGCAAAAAAAAAATAATAATAATAAAATGAAAATCAAGCAATAAGCATGCTGCTGCCCTTCGACTGACACATCAGATTAAACTATTGGAGCGTATAACCAGCCTGCCGGAATTGAAATGGATCCAGGCGAAATGAGTTGCCCCCCCCAAAAAACCAACCAAACAAATAAACAACAACAGCAAGCATGACATTGAAATTAGCACTTCGTCAATGTGCGAATGATCTCACTGTAGCATCAGCTGGAGTTCTTCAACTTGTTCAGATCGCTCAAAGCCCCACACCGTTTCCGAGCGCAAAACTTGCAAACGGCGACAGATTTGATGGATTCATCATCGTCGTCGTCATCGTGTGCTGCCGATTGCTCGATGAAAGGCAGACGACACATTTCAGATGTCACGTACAAACATGATGAATGCCGCCGAGCTCTTCCAGTGCGACGCGCTGCGCTTCACAGCCAAATAAATGTCAGCGGAACAAAAGAAAAAAGAAAGAGAATTCAAATTTTCCCAGAGGCGGTGCCCCAATAAACGTGACGGCTCATTTTGTTGGCAATTTGTCCTCCTGTCGGCATTTGAGCGTTCGCCAGCCTCACCTTGCCACGTCATGCTCAAACCGTTTTCTGGTGATTAAGTCGAGACGATGATGTCACCGTGTTGCTGTCCACTGTAAAACACGAACAGCGTTTTGAAAATCCCCGTTTGGCGTTCGGCATCATTCTAAACCGAAGCCATGACATTCTGCGATAGATAGACTGTTTGAAAACTTTTTGGGGGATAGAGTTTTACCTCCTTCACACGGTTTAAACGCATTCAGAAAACTCTTTAAACACCAAAATATTCACTTAAACCACATCATTTTAACCATTAGCTTGATGCTGTACCGTAAGTCCAAGTGTTGTACTTTTATTCTTCTTCTTCTTAATGAGACGAAAATTTGACCGACGCAGTGCTGACAAATTGGACGTGCCTTTTTATGTAACAGAGAAGTCCGTCGAATGTCGAGGGTGCACGAAATACTTTTGTGGATTACACCGTAACGATGTTTAGCAGGGCTAAACATGAGTTGTTTGTTGGCTGAAAAGCCCGCTGTGGCCTCTCGGAGCAAAAAGCGAGCAAATTGAATGGGAAGGATGTTTATGTTGCGTGCATCCTATTAGCCCAAATCAATTACCGCAAAAGAAGCCGTCCTGGCACGGCACGTCGTTCGTGTTTTCTTTCATGTCTTGTCTTTAAGGATGCATGTTGGCGACGTTCCTCGTGCCGGCGGTTGCGGTAATTACAGGCATGTGTAATGTTTTCGAGTTGACTCTTGCGACAGAGAAGCGGATTGAATGTCGACTTGTTTCCCAACGTTTCGCCTTTGCCAAGAAGGCGGTTTCTTCCCCTCGCTGCGTTTCCACTTTTTGGGACGCCACGCAACAGGAAGCGTTTCAGAAGAACAACTTTCTCACATGGAGCGTGTTGTTCCACTCGGATGGGAGCGCAACACCCTCCGGCGGGCCTCGTTTTATCGCAGGGATAACGTTCCAGAATGCAGACCCACCTGCAAATGTGACAATATTGAGATCACATTTTTGATGTCCCGCAAGCCTCAATAAAAATAGGCATCCATCCTATGCCTGTTGTTTTGTAACGTTGAGTTGCTCCACACTCCTAAAAAAGAAAAACACATTTATGCTGAAGGTCCGGGGTGCCCGAGTCGGGTCCTCGAGAACCCCGTTCGACCTGTTTCAGACGTCTCTGATTCAAGTGATGAGCTCATCAACTGCAGAAGCCTGATAATGATCTTGAAGATTTGAAACGGGTGTTTTGGAGGAGGCAGACCTCTAAAACGGTGAATAGCATGGACATTATTATAATTTTTTTTTTTTTTTTTATGCTGGCCACGCAGGCAATTCCGGATGCGAGTGAGGCAGGCCCTAGTCACTCAAGAGGAGATCAGCGTGAGTATAGTTGGAAAAAGATGACATGACGAAGAGCAAACCGAAAGAATGTAGAAAGAGAACAGGTCACACAGAAATTGACATGATAATGACAAAGCCGCAGCAACCTGCCACTCAAGTTTTGATGAGTGATTGGCATTTGCAGACAGTTTCCGAGACTCCCGACACCAGATTCAGCTATCGACATGAAAGTGGGAAGGACGCCTGTCGTGACAGGACGCCCGAAAAAGTCTCAAGGGCACATCTCAGCGACCCTGAAGTTGAACAGGAAGTCGAGGTCATAACCGTGAACAAAAACGAACACGGTCACGAAAATTCGCCCAAATGTTGCAAGCGGACGCGAACATTTCCGAGCGCTTTCGCCGGCATTGTGAAATGCAGGCGGCGCAGATAAAGTTGACGACAAAGAACGCATCAAATCCTCGCCACGCTTGCTCCTCGTTGAAGGAGCGACGTCTGAACTGCACGTTCGTCTGCTTTGTTCCCCCGCCGGTTGGCACTTTTGAAAAGAATTGTGGCTAATAAAGGCCTTAATTGGTACTAATTTCAAAGAGACTCCTGTTGAAAGACCTTCTCAATTTTAATCAGCGCCACACAACAGCTGTAATGAGGCTGTTATGAACAAAAAAAAAGACACACGAGATAGTGCTTCTTTCCTCTCCGTTGTTCCTGGTTACGTGTCAAAAGCGTGTCAAGTTTGACGTTCTTGGAGCAATCGCTCAGCCACCAAGTCCAATGCTTCTAAATCGGGGTTTTACAAAACTTGATTCTAGGAAATTATTAAGTTGTTTGTTTTTTTTTTGTATGAAAACTGGGACATTTAGAAGGAAAAAAAATTCAACGAAAACTCCGGCATGCAGACACCACGGTTCCACCGTACTCCATACTAAGTACTGTAAACTACTTACGGTTGATGTTTTCATCCTCCCCAAATTCTGTGAACCACTGATAAAGGATGACTCATCCATTTATTAATTTCAGACAGGCTATTAATAAAATAAGATCTGTCGTTCACAATTTGACATAGGCAATTATTCTGAGCATATTCATGCCGCGGGTCAAAATTAACTGGAAGCATAAAAATTGTTCAGTATGTCTCCCTTGCTCTCGTTATTAAGCGTGGCATTTGTTGTGTCCAAACGATTTGGCGAGTGATGCGTCACGCCGTTAACCAGACCGCGCCTCGTGGTTCGGTGCTGTTTATCGTCCATGTGCCAGGAAAGGAAAGAACAAACAAACAAAACACCAAAATTAGCAGTGTGATTAATCCGCAGCGCCTGACTGCTAATACAATGAGATTTTTTGTGTTTATTCCAGAACGTTGTGTCGCGTTGTTGTGTGTTTTGCCCCGCAGGAAAACGACGCAAATTTTTGCTTCGTCAAGGCGGATTGTTGTGTCTGCAGACATTTTCACCAGGATCTCACACGGACGGACTTCTGGGTGGCAAAAAAAGGCGGATTGTGCCACTCGTAAACAAAAAGCCTTGCATGTCATTTGACATGTATTTGATTTTTTATTTTTTTTGTTTGAAGACTTGGGATTGTTCTTTCTGACAGACTGATGAAGTGTCACTGTACACCTCCGAACTTGGCCATTTGGTGTGGTTTTGCAATCGAGCTAAATCTTTTTTGTGTCTCGTTTGCAGGTGACAAGGTGACGATGTTCCCTGTACTGGACATTGACCAGAACCACATTGTGGACACAAACGGAGCTGGAGACGCCTTTGTCGGAGGTATGCTGAGGGAGAAAAACAAAAGTCTTGTTTTTTTTTTTTTTTTCCTTTTCGTTTTTTTTGGGGGGGTGTGTGTCGGATAGTGGGGGTGCGCCCATTGCGACACACTATTGACTGTACTTGTTGGTCATGTGCGACCGCCGAAGGGTTCCTGTCGGCGTTGGTCCAGGAGCATCCCCTGGAGGAGTGCATCCGAGCGGGACACTATGCCGCCAACGTCATCATCCGACGAGTAGGCTGCACCTTCCCGGAACAGCCCGACTTTCACTAGACGCATCTCGCACCTTCCCACAAACGCATTCGTACGCACGCGTGCCTCGGCATTTTATGTACGTTGTTTTTTGTTGGGTTTTTTTCTACTCACAGTGACCATCCCGGAAGCAAGAGCTCATCAACGTCTGTTTTTACCAGTGTCAACCAAATGGCACTTTCTCTTCAAACTTTTTACTGTACTGTACTTGGTATCAGGCCAAAACATTAAGTAGACCCGCGCGATGCGCATATATCAACATCGGTACCTTTTGAAATGGCATTATTGAGAATTTCACCTCATTTGATTTTGATGTCATTTCTTAGTCAGAGATTCAGTGTTAGGAGAAAATTGTGTGTTTTAATACTTTGAGGAATTTTAATGACAATTACTCTCATTTGACTGTTTCTCTGCCGTTGGTCATTACAGACGTCAAAAATCAATTTGGGTTGGCAGCGAGTTAGTTAACAAACATGGTTAAAAATACATTTTTAGTTGATAAATAAAATGAAGTTCAGTTAACCTCATTAATAATTCATGTTTGACATCTCAATGAATTTACCAGATGTAGTATTGTTACTTATGAATGGAAAATAAGCGGAACAGTTTCTGTTCATTTTAATTAAAAAAATAAATAAATACATACACACATTTTATATTGCTCCTCCTATGTTACTCCTCAGTGTTGTCAATCAAGATGATGGGTCCTGTCAACAACAACAACCAAAAAACTACCTGCTTCTTTCACACAGATGCGCCCTGAAAGAAATGGGGGTTTTGGGGGTGTTTGCGCATTTGTGATTGGGCAAGATGTCCACTCACATGGCAGCTGGCCGCTTGGCCTCCCTCAAGATGACAGATGGCAAAAGACAAACACAAAAAAAAGGAGGCAGACATGATGAAGTCATGACAATGGAAGGGAAAGTACCTTGTTTTCTCCACGCCTCTCTCACTTTCTCCTTTTTCGCCTCGCTCCATTAACCTCATGTGGAAACACAAGCAGTGGAGTCATTGCTGTTATGTCCGTATTACAATCAATTCTACCATCGTTTACCCGAATGATTTACAGCTCTAATTGCCAATTGTGCAATGCTTGTATTTGCAATCAAAAAACATGTAACAAAACATCGGTTGGTGTTTAGGGGGGGACTAGATTATTGACATTTCTAGTGGTTTCAATGGGGAAAGTTGATTTGGGATACAAATGATATGCATTATGAACATTACACGCTAGTTGTAATCGAAGTAGAGAGAGACTGGCGGGTGTTTTTTCCCCCCCTCAGCAGATGGGCAGTAGTGTTTGTGTGGTAGTTGGCAAGGATTGAGGGATGGGGTTGGGCGGGGGACAGGGTGGGGGTGTCACAGTGGGCTCAGGGGATGGATGCGGGCAGACCGCAATGGCGGCACATGCTTGTCCAATTGAAATGATGGAGGGACCGCCGGCCCGCCCGGCTTGACATTCATTGGAAAACACAGCAGCCCGCTTCTATTCTCTGAGTCCACCTGCCCCCCACTGGCGGCATTCACACGTCGGATTGGCGGCCAATTAGCAGCACGCACGATGAACAACATGTCGGCAGCACCGTGGAAGCATGAGAAACGCTGGCCGCCAAACGCCACCCATTCAAACGCAAATAAAGCGTCACTGGCCGGCCCGTAGTTTCCTCCGAGATAAAATGTGTCCCCTTACTGTTTCAAAACACAAGAATGGTCATTATTTATTTGTATGTTGACATCATCCACAGCAGATTGTTTTTCCCATAGCCCTAAATCTCCTCTTGAATAAAATGTGTCACCATCGTATGGTAATGCTCATTTTTATTTAGATTTTTTTGGTTTGTTTTTTTGGTTTGTCATATTTTTGTTTAAAGTCATCCACGGCACATAGTTTTCCCTCAAGGCCCTTAATCTCCATTTGGATAACTTTGGTGACTTGTTCCCTGCAGCATGATTTTCACATATGACTGTTTGTAGCTGTACAAGCTGTAATTTGCCAAGACACCTTTTAAGTTCTCCCACGCTATATATAACATATATATCTCCCTACCATCTCATTTATTTTGATAAACAACTATGCACACTATGCTGCCATGTTTTAATGGCTGTTCATTAATTTGTCTTGATGGTGGCAAATCTTTTTTTAGGTAGTACTGAGTGTAAAAAGTTTTAGGAACTCTTGCTACTGCTTTAGAGTGTCAAAATATTGGAAGTGCGTCGACATCTTCATTTCACATCCAACTTGTGAATTTGGGCTCAATGGATTTTGCAGGTCAGTACCTACAGTGTAATATTGTAAACCACTCCACTGAAGAAAAAGGAAGGAGGGAGGGAGTGAGGAGGGGAGGAATGGAGGAGGAGGAGGGGGAGGGTACCATTTTGTCACAGACTGCTATGTAGATTAACCTTTCAATTAGTTGTTATCAACTGCTCTCCACGCAGCGAGCTCTGCATCTCGGATTATGACTTCTGCATCTTTCTGTCATCACGTCACCATCATGGAGACGAGAGGACTGTGGCAAACTTGAGGTAAAAAGATGCCCCGTGTCTCTTTGCATGCAACTCTCCACTATTTGGGCTGCAGGGATGATTTGCGACTTTAATGGCGAGAAAACGCGACTCAATTTTGCCTTCGTTGCGCAACGTACGCGGCGCGGGACGTTCACTGTCATCGCAAAAAAAGATCGGAAAACACAGGCGGCCGTGCGTTTTTGGAAATCGCTTAACGAGGCGTTTATGGGGAATTAACGGTGGGGAAAGAATAAAAAGGGAGGTGGTAGGTGGAGGTGCTGCTGCTGGTGGTCGCCTTCACGCATTTTTATTTTACCCCTTCCTCCCTTAGGAATCGTTAAACGCGACACCTTGGATTGGCGTTCCACTTTTTATCGGCGTTTATGCCATTATAGATCGCCGTAATGAATCATTGAAGAGCGTAAAAAATGAACGAGACACTTTCAAGCGCGACCAACTGTTTCAAGGAGGAATGTGTCCATAAGGTGGAGCGGCGCAATGATGTTGTTTGACCGAAATAATTGCCTCGCTCGGTTGTAACAAGGTGTCCAATCGCAACAGCGTACCCTCGGCGTCCACGTACGAGCCAACGAAACCAAATAGGCGTGTGAATAAAAACGTTTTCCGGAGTGTCGACGCTAAGTGGTGCGGACACGATTGCCGAGCCACCTTAAGAGGGCGGGTCGAACATCCGTGAAGTGACAGCTGTGTCAGCCAATGGCACCGGGCGACAAGTAAAGATTGACAGGCTTTTTATCAAACCAGCCATCGGATGTGGTCTGTTCCCAGCCAATAATGAAGTTGTTAGGGGTGGGCACATTAGTGTCGGCGAGGTTTAATGAGACTCCATTGGATTGTAATCAGCGTCATGTCGGATTCGGTGTAAACTACAACAGTGGAACAAAATGGCGACTGTTTAGGTGACGCCACTTTTTAACGCTGCTAGCGTTTTAAACAGCATAATCTGTCGTGTGCTGCTGTTGTTTTTTTTTAAATTTATTTTTATTTTTATTATCCAGCTCGGATTCACTTGGAGCACAAGGTTTGTTACTGGCGGGGTTGTTGTGTTTTCTTGAGGGGTTTGGCCGTCAGCTGTCAAGGGAGCAAGCATCGATTGTGCGGCCGGCGTTGAGCACTTTGTTGTGGCGGCCATTGAGCTGTCAAAAAAATAAAGAATAGAAAAAAGGAAATAAAACAAGTCGAGTGAGGGACAGCTTCAAACGCCGAATGTCCACCTTGTCGTTGTCGTCGTTTCTGTGCCGTTGTCGGACGTCCGTGTCACCGTACGTGTGGCACTTGTGTGGCCCGTAGAGTGTGTCGTGTTCGTGGTTGTGTCAGAGAAACGAAACTTGAAGCAGGCGTTTCACACTAGACTTTCTTTTATTCCCAGAGCACAAAAGTTTCGGGCGCAAGAAGTTCCTCCAGATTTTGTGTTATACTGAATTTAAAACTCGACATTTCGTTTACCAACTATCGTTTTCCAGGGTAAATTTTTTGGGGAAAAGTCCCAGTATTTATTGTTTATCAGTTGTTGGCAAAACTTTTTTTATGCAAAGTACCACCTTTTTAATTATTATATGATTGCATTTTAGAAGCCAATGTAACATTATACACAGTTTGAGCATTAGCACCGTGCTTAAGTACAAGAAAATAAGACTGTACTTAAGTAGCGATTCACCAAAAATAAACAAGTTACAAATGGTGCCTAAATAAATTTCTAATTGACCAAACGCTAATGTTTTGGAAAAAAAGTTAAATCCAACTGAGCTGTCATTGGCAGTGATGCTTTCGCATGCCACGAGAGGTATTCCGACCACCACTTGTGTGAAAACACTCGTTTATGAATTCTAATACTAAATTGCAAATGTCAGAGGTGGACAATGATCTTGTTGATTTCACTTATTAATGAAATAGAAGTTTCATACTTCAACTATGTGTCATCCTTTTTTTTTCTTAATGTTCTTCATTAACTTTTAAGATAAGATAAAAAAACCTTTATTTGTCTCACAATGGAGAAATTCCCAATGTGTCAGTGTGACCCGGTGACATTACTGCATACGCATTTCAAATACAGTAAGATACTGAAGTCTAAAATTAGACATTCGGGTCATTTTGAAAGTCACAAAGCCACAAAAAATGTGTAACCACTACTTACTTTACTGCTTGAAGTTTTTTTTTTTCCTGGTTTATCCATGACCACTTGAAGCATATGCTTTTTTTTTCCCCCCACGCCTACTACCGACTGCCAACATTTCGAAAGTTTCTTGCATTTCTGATTTGGAATCAGTGTCATCGCAAATTTGCAATCTTTTCTCAGTAACAGCACTAATGTTCTTAGCAATAATGATTCTGTATAGTTCATTATCAAATCAAAATTAACCAGTTGTCTTTGTTGGCTATTCCGAAATGCATATAATCACCAATTGTGTTTTTCTGCCAGATTTAGAGACAGCGTCAAGGTCAGTTCCTGGTCGTGGAATTTAACAGTGGCACTTTTTCCCTCAAACGTCAGTCGTCTTTACAGGCCGGATTTGACGAGCCATTTTGGAGGGCTCCGTGGAACGTACCTTTTTTGGACCTCGCCAAAGGATGTGGAAGTACCCGTTGGCGCTTGGCAGCAGGCGGGATTGCGCATGGATGGCGTTTTTGTGAGTCTCCAGGTCCAACCATGGTGAAACTCGCCAACCCTCTGTACACGGAGTGGATTCTGGAGGCCATACAGAAAATCAAGAGGCAGAAGCAGCGGCCCTCGGAGGAGAGGATTTCCCACGCGGTGGGCACGTCGCACGGACTGGACCGGAAGACGGTCCTGGAGCAGTTGGATTTAAGCGTTCACGATGGCTCTATTCTCAAGGTTACCAACAAGGGTAGCACCTCATACAAGGACCCGGGGATCACCAGGAGAGCGGGATCCATCCCGCCTCCCGCCTCGCCTATGCCGACAAAGGATTCTATACGGGGTTCCGGCGATCTCCGCCACCTGGATTGGAATAAGATCCTGCACAGGGCCATTGAGGGCCTGGACGACACGCACGGCTCCTCGCTCAAAAACATCGAGAGGTACCTGAGGAACCAGGACGACCTGGCCGAGGCGGCTGACAACCCGGCCTTCCGCCAGCGCTTGCGGCTGGCGGCCAAGCGCTCCGTCAACAGCGGCAGACTGTTCAAAAATGGCCCGCGGTACCAGCTCGGAGGGCGCGGCGGCACCGACAGCAGGGCGCCCAGGTGTCCCATGGCCACCCCTTTGCTGCTGATGTCGGCGACGCTCCTAGCCCACGAGCGAGAACAGGTATACCCGCGTGACTTTTGTGTTTACTATACTTTCATATGGCCGGTGGGAATCACAGCACAAACGAGGATGCTGAATGTTTGCCCACAATGGTTCGAGAATGGCTACTCAGGGGGTGCCCTCTTTAATACGATACCAACATTTCGAGGTTCCAACATTGCGCTTGAATGAAGTAGCTTGCGCAGGGGCGTAAGATCCAATCCATAGTTTTTATCTTTAAATTTTCTTTGTGTATCCTGGCGGGCATAACATTTGAATACTTTCCTTACTAAGATTGAGCGCCATGAATTCTGCTCGGCAACAGGTGCCTGCACAAACCACCAAAAGTACTTTTGTGGAGCGAGCATTTTTCCCTCCCCATAATGAATCCCAAAGGATTAGTCATAAATGTTGTTTTTCCTGGAATGTAGCAACATAAGTAGACCTTGGAGGACCCCAGAGTGCGTTTTCTTCTATTGTTGTTAAAATGTTGACAAAAAAAAAAAAAAGCTCTGATTGTGTTACTGTGGAGGGTTTGCATCATGTTGCCGGTCTTGATAATAATAATAAAAGCGCCCCAATAGCTAGGATGTCATGCTGCGCTTGTGTGGTCGGCACTTTGCTGTAGGCTTCCCACACGTTACATAAGCTCGGCCAAAGTGACCCATAAAGGATGCGGTTGGCTGTCTTGTGAGGGGCAGTGAATATATAAAACCAATTTTGTGGAGGGTTAAGAACTAATGTGCCTCAAAGAGGATGCAGGAAGACGTAATATGAGACCTAGACCGTTTTAACCAACAACGCAGCTCATTTGTGGAGAAGTGCAAGGTTGAGTGTATTTCCACTTGGTGCGTTTCCATGGTGTAGAAATTGAATTTAGCCCCAAGGGGGGCACTAAAGGATTGTCCTCGATTCCTGCAGGGTGCATTGTTTTCCCTGCATTTAGCGCCTCGGGGGTGGTCGACAGCATGCGGCAAGATGGTGTCTAACACTGCTGGGTTCTCGCTTTTAACACGTCTGACGAGAACATCGCCTTGAATGACGGCTCGCTGTCCGTCACTGAAGATCAAAGCTAACGAGTAAAAACAATTGCCGGACAAGCCGATGGAGAGGCGCAATGCTGTTGCTGTTGTTGTCGTTCTGCTCAAGGCCTTTGGTTGTTGCTAGCGTACGTTTGCGACTGTTGGAGACTGAAGAAGGCATTTCAACCAGCGCAGGATATTAATGCGAGAAACGGGCAAAGTATGATTCTGAGTCACAATTATTGAACAATATTTGTATTAAAAAAAAAAAACTAAACTTCTAAGTGAGAAATATCGAGCATTCGCACCAAAAATAGGACGCTTGGAACTGTGCCGCTTGACGTCCTAATCAAACTAGTTCTTTGTGCGACGTTTTAGACCTGTAAACAAGTGGTCGAGTGTAAATAGACACGGCCGCGCGTGCGCTTTCACTCGCTTTATTGAAGGAACGGTAAGAAAACAAACTTCCAGTAAGCGCATTCAGACTCGAGTGTTTCAGCACGCAGACTGGCTAACGTGTTAGCCGGTTTAAAAACAAAAAACAGCCACCTCGACACTGTCAATTGCAGATGCCCACGTTGTTCAACGTCACAGATACTGCACTTGAAAACTTCGACCTGCACCTCTTGTGCACATTTGGTGTTTGATAATGAAAGATCAATTTTTATCCCGATTCATTCATGGATACCCAGTACCATACTTTGATGTTGAACATATTTGACAGTCCTTCCCTTGTACTTGTTTGTTGCTGCCGTAGGAACTGAATTGCGTTGTAAACCAGGGACCGCCTGTCATCGATGAAGAATATAAAATCCAGTTTTAACCCTGAACCATTGTGAACCAAGGAACAAGATTTGCGCCCAAAAGGCTGAGAAGCAAATGGAGCGCATTTTTCGATTGCCACGGTGTGTAGCCAAAATGCAGCATACTTTCTACTTTTTGTCGTTTTTGAGATGCGCTGCCATGTCAAGGTTTTGTGCACGTATCGAGATGTCGCCTCGCTCCTCGCCAGTTTCACAATGAATAATCAGGAAGCGACACCTCTAATTCTGTAGCCACATCTCTGTGACTCTCTGTGGTCTGAGAACAAAAAAAACCTAGATATTTAGTAAAAAAAAAAAAAAATTGAGATGGGACCTGCAGCTGTTTTCCATCTGTAACTTTTTTTTTCTTTTTTTCTTTTGGACTTCACCAAGCCGAGTCGAGGTTTACCTTGCACTTCAAACTGCTGAGACTGCTCAGCCTCACAATGGCGATGTTATGTGTTGAGAAAAACAGGTACTCGCTGGCGGAAAAGAGCAGTGTTGGCTCAGAGTTTATAAGAGTCTGAAGAGACTGTGCCAGGAACAAAGGCGAGGAATTGGAGGCCCCCCCCCACTCTCCCCCCTCCGCTGTGTTATGCAACCACTTGAGCTCTCTTTCCACCAGCAGCGTTCTAATCGAGCCCCACCCCCTCACTCAGGACAGCCTGCTCTTTTCATGCGGCATCATTTCCTGTCATGTACTTAATTTAGACTGCCCGAGAAACTCATCGGCGCTGTTTTCTCCTTTTGGTGTATGTGAAACGCTGTTTCCAGGAATAACTCCTTGTTCCAGGATTAGATCTTATCACTCAGGACTGTGATGATGATAGATAACTGTGTCAGAAACGTTCTCGCATCCAGACTTGTTGTCTCCTCTTCCTTGTCTTGAATCCAAAACTCCCACTGCAACCTTTTGGTGCGCCATACGGATCCTTTTAAGGGTGTTTTCCGCCCCTTTTAGTAGGCATGTATTCCTGGACTCGAAACCTCCCAAGAAAGTTGTCTACCAAGGGCGGTTCCTGCGGGCCAAACACAGGTGGTGCGCAGACTGGCCTTAAAGCGCAGATGGAAAAGCTCCTAAAAGATTCTTTGTGCTCCCGTCTTGAGGCGGATTATGTCATATCCAAAAGATTTTCTTTTCTTTTTTTTTCTCAGCAGAAAGGGAGACCAAAAAAACCTCATAGCAGACACTAATTCAGAGCAGAGTGATTTGTACGCCATGTCGGGAAAGCAAAGCTTCTAAAGCCGGGCATATGCCAGAAAAGCCAGTTTCAAGCCCGCTTCCCGGTTTGCGAGCGGCCATTCCCGATGTGTCGTACGACGAACAGGTCATATGTTACGATTTTGTACACCGTTTACATTCCGATGGCAAGATGTATCTTTTCGCGCGCGCGATATCACCTGTGGACAGTAAATAAAGTTTCAAGTCATTGAGGACATTATGACCTCTTGGCGCCGAATGTCTTTTGAGCACAATTCAATGGAAGTCTTTGTAGTCGGTGGTTTCTGTTGCGAGTTAAAATGACAGACATCTTGTTGTTATTAACGTTGGATGGTATTCTGGATTTTTCAGGGTGGAGGCTTGCGCGGCCAAGACCATAATTCATAAAGCAACTCAAGAATGGCCAAGAACAAAAAACATGTTTGTCTGATTAAATCCCTCGGATCTGTATCAGGAGAGTGTCGTCGTTTTTGGAGTTTGCAGTAGCTGTTTAATTAAGTGTGTACTTTAATGATGATTCGATTGGACTCATGTTCCTGCTTAGTTTTGTTTGTTTTTTTGGGTGTTTTTTTTTTTGTGTCAGCCAACATGAGGTGATAAAGCATGCCCTTTTATTTATTTTTTTCCATTTGTTCAGAAAAGGAAAGAAACACAATCCGCTTCAAAGGAATTGCATTTTAAAGGCAGTAAATCAACACGAACTTCGCGTGATACTTTTTGTACATGAAGAGGCAATAACTTCTGCAAGCAGAACACTTTGGGCCTTGTGTTCCGAAGAAAATAATGTCGTCGTTCTTGGGGCGGGGGAGAGCTTTAAAAAAAAAAAAAAAAAAAAAAAAAAAGACGCCAAAACGTCTTCATATGCCACCATTCAGCCGCATAAATGTCAGATGATTTGTAGTTTAGTACATTGTGCACTTTCTTGGAATTGCTGTCATACGATGTGGTTCACGGTACCGCTGTGAAGGGCTTTTCACATTGTAACTGACATTTGCGCCCCCCCCACTAATGTATAGTCATGCAAAAAAAAAAAGTGTTGCCATTCTTCCAACAGATTGATCGCTTTGTTTTCAATTCGACAGGACCAGATTTCGGAGTGAATTCACATGATGTCGTTGTTTCAGTGGTCATACTTTGGATGATGTTTTTGTTTGTTTGTTTTGGTGCTCAATGAGATTTTTGTGGCCATGAAGGTTGGGCAAAATACTCCACTGCCCTATGACAATTCCAGAAGCAACCAGAGTGAAGCACACAAGTCAGTGTCTGTGCTCCACAACTGTGGCACAAACTTCCTGAGCACCTGTTGGTACTTGGCACGGACTTGTAAGCGCTTTCAAGGTATGCCGTGACTTTCAAAAGCGCTTCAAACATAATGGCGTCAAAACAAAACAATAAGGAACCCTTTTTGGGGGTGGGGAGGACAAAAGCTTTGCCATAGCTTGGTACATATATTATCAATGTAAGAATTTTCCGAGTGTGACAGTGCCAATCGGTGACATTTTCAGCAAATTGTGACAATCAAATCGGCGACGGTTTCAATTCTGTTGTGCACAAGGTGACTGGAATTGACCTATTTTATTTTATTTTTTTGCCTTCGAGGGACATCTTCAAGGTGCGAGTCGGTCCATTTCAATTCCTGTCAGCCTCCAGTGTGGGAACCCGCTGTCAAATATTGACCAGGCCGGCTTGAAAATAGAGTCATCATTGACGTGGGAGTACCCGCCCCCGCCCATCCACACACACACACTCAGCATCTAATTGACACGGAAGCCCTCAACAAGGACAACATCCTCAATGTATGCCTGCTGCCCCCCGAGGACGCAGCAGGCCTTGAAAGAGTGCTCCTGTCATGTTTCTCTTGACGGATGGAGGGGGAAAACAGCATTCATTTGTAGGTCAGGAGGTGGTCACAAGGATGTGCTTTCACAGCAAGCGACAACTGTTTGTGCGCCCCCCCCACCCCCCCCGAGTGGCCGTTTGAAGCTCGATTGACAGAGCCGTGATGAGATACCATCAGCGCACCGTTAAGTAAAGATCATATCTGCCAGTTGTTCACAAGCCGGGCCAGACGGCAGCACTTGCTTTAATGCTCCTCCAGGGGCTTTACCAATGTGATCACATTTTTTTTTTCCAAAGGTCTTCTCATCATTTTTAAACAGGGAGTGTGGGGTTCCCTTTCAGATCCAAACGGTCAGCGTGCAAAATGGCGTGTCGGTCTGCGCGAATGGCGGCATATCGACTGTTGCACCCGTGCGATAATTTGATCAGACGCTCATTAATCCTCTTCGTCTCGGGTACTAACCCCAAAGAAGAATCGGATTAAGCACGCGGACTACTTTGACTTAGATCACCGTGTCACTAGGGTGGAATGGTTATCCAGGAGTTGTTTATTGGGTCCCGCTGGGCTGGCTACCTTGGATTTATAGTTGGTGCAATTGTCTACTTCTGTTGCGCTGAACAGATGGAACACTTTGTTCGTTTGTAATTTCCTCTAAGTGCCACCAAATGATGCCAAAGCAAAGTCTTTTTTTATTTTATTTTTTTATTTAAGATGCGGAATTTGCAACACTGTCCCCTAGATCTTGTTTGAATTAAGTGTTGCTGAAGACTTTAAAGTTGTTTGACTTTTGAAGTGTATCACTTGTGAAGGTTCAACTCTGTCTTGATAACATTCCAAATCATGACCAAACATACATTTTTTTTTTGCCCTCTTGAACACTTTGTCTGTTTTGTGTGTTTCCTGTCAGCTGCGGGTAGACCCCATCCCAATATGCAGTTTCTGTCTGGGCACAAAAGAGTCCAACCGAGACAAGCGTCCAGAGGAGCTTCTTTCTTGCGCCGACTGTGGGAGCAGCGGTAAGTTGACATTTGCGACGTATCGCCAAGCATAGAATGAATTTGATTGCTCTTATACGCCCAGGATCAAAGATCCATTTTGGTTTTTTTTTAACTGCAAAATGGGCGCTGTTTACATTTTTCGACTTGCCCACCGCCACCCGTGGTAACACTCATGTTTGAGCAATTATTTTAAATGCCGCGAGGGATCGTTGCTGCCGTGACATTTTTACAGCGTAAATTTGACTAACTGGCGTCGAGGTGGTTTTCATTAAATGTACACAAACGGCGGTCGCGCTGCAAAACAGCTGTTTCGCAAGCATGACGGAGTGCTTTTGGACTCTTCGTGCATCGGCTTATGTTCGAAATGAGCGCCGCTTTCTGCCTCATTACGATCAAATTATGTCATTAGCCACTGCGATGTTTTGATCAGACTGGTTTTTACACACCGATTGTGGCAGCGAGGAAGGGAGGGGAGAAAAAAAAAAGAGACCGTACATGCCACTGATGTCAGTCATTAGTTTTCAGCGCTGGGCGTGTTAATCTTTAAACAGCATGAAGTGGCAACATTGATTAAACGGGCTCATGTGCCATTTTCAATTGCTCCTCTAGGGCATCCCTCGTGTCTCAAGTTCTCCCCCAAGTTGACCTCCCACGTGAAGCGATTACGGTGGCAGTGCATCGAATGCAAAACCTGCAGTTCCTGCCGAATACAGGGGAAAAATGCAGTAAGTGCGCCTGCTTTCACCAAATGCCGTCGATTCCATCCCCGCAGCCAGACCTCCAAAGTTGAACACGAGCTGTGCTACGACGCCAAGTGACTTCAGTGTTGCGGTAATGTCAAGACATTTTCCCTGCAGGAGATACTGAACATTTTCTCCGTCGTACGTCACATCATTAAGTATGTAGGTACATGTTTTCAAGCTTGATGTAAATAGATTAGATTGTTACATTCTATTTGAAAATGTGGTAACACTGCGGCTCTGCTTACCTTTTCGTTTTAACGTTATATTGGCTCTGGAACTGCTAAGTCATTGGTGGAGAAATTCTGTGTTTGGGTAGTTATTTTAATTTGACAGAGAATTAATTGGAAGTGGAGAAAGGCTCGCAAAAATGTATTTAGTTGCTTAATTTCACTTTTGATGTGTGTTCACGAGGCTGTTTCCATCCACACTTTAAAAGTCATTTGTTCACTTTAAGTAATATTTTCACCTTCTCAAGTGTAAAGATAACGCAGCCGCTGTATGACAGAATTAAAATAAAGTAAAACTCCTTGCACTGTCAAATAAAGAGGGACAAGGAGTTGTTGTTTTTTTTTTTTTTTTTTTTTTTTTTGAGTTATACACCCCCCTGGTGGTGATTTTTAGCTATCTGCTGCTAGCACATCATCTTAATTGTCTCCTCTGCCACCCATGGTTCCTTTGCACCCACTTTGAAGGGAACGATAACTATCCGCCTTACACGTGTCTGCTGTTCCTACAGGACCAGATGCTCTTCTGCGATTCGTGTGACCGGGGCTTCCACATGGAGTGCTGCGAGCCGCCCATTTCCAGAATGCCTAAAGGTGAGGTGTCAGTTGCTTGGGCATGCATATTGAATGATTCCAGCTTCCCCCGGGGGAGGTATAAGCATTACAGTGCCGAGGGGCCAAGTCATGCACAAGCTGTAGTCGTGCACTTTGCCGGGCTATTCATCCATTGCTGACTTGGGATTCTATTTAAGTGGCCGCACAGAACGCCGCTGTATGGATTTGCACTTTTTGTGCTGAGTAATTAATTGTCATTGTGAGCTGACCGGATGCCGACCAGCTCAAGGAAATTGCCCCCCCCCACCCCCCAAATAAATAAATTAAAATAAAAAAACATGCTGTCCTTGGAATTGATGAACCCACCCCCAACATGACGGTGTGTGTGTTTGGATGCCCTCCAGGAACGTGGCTGTGCCAGTTCTGCAGGCCCAAGGACAACGGAAAGAAGCTGCTGCACCGAAAAGCTGACGAGATCAAACGGCGATATGCAAAGCCCATCGGAAGACCCAGGAATAAGCTCACGCCACAAATGTATGTGCGCGCAAGTCACTCGGCAGCATCGCTGTCTCTCTGAGGCGAGCTCTTAACGCGGCCGTCTGCTTGTAGGTGTCTAAGCAGCCGTGATGGTTCCATGGTGGCACTCGGAGGAAGGGGGTCACCCGGTAGGGGTCCGAAGTTTAGCGCGTGTACCTCATCCCGTCATGCCGCATCTGTGAAGGACGCCAGAGGCAGCTCGGCTATTCCAGACGCCACCCAATTCACCATCCCAACCCCCACCTCCACCGCCGTCACCCCCCTCCTCACGCCCTCCTTCGCCACCCCAGCTGCGCTCGGCGTTAACAAGAAAACCAAAGGGCTCATCGACGGGCTTTCCAAATTCTTCACCCCTTCCCCCGTGGGGCGTCGCTCGCGAGCCGTAGCCGCCGAGTCGCCCGCCGACAAACGGTTAGGCGTGGCCGCTCCAGTCGCCGCCAGTCACCAGATAGCGCCCTCGTCTGCACTCCCCGCCACCGCCCCCCCAACATCGCCGGGATTTAGCCCGCCCTCGCAGGTGTCCGCCGGCTCCACCTCGGCTAACTCGCCCCAGAGCTCTTCCAGCCAGTCTAGCGCTCCCTCCCTGGGTAGCCTCTGCAATAGCAGCCAGCTCAAGGGACTGTTTGACGGACTCTCGCACATTTACGCCACTCAGGGACAGTCGCGGAAAAAGAGGCTCGCGTGCTACACGCCGCCCAAGCGCACGCAGCAAAAGCGGGACTCGCCACACGCGTCCAAAGCGCCGACCCAGTTCCACAGAAAGAACGAGTTTAGTAAAAACCGGCTCAGCTCCACGTCACCGGGGTCGGGGCGACCCCCAGGACACGCCTTTAAGTTGGTCAGCCATTTCAAGCGCAACCCCTTCCTTAAAAAACACAGGACGCTAGGCAGGCTGAGGTATAAGGTGAGCCCCCCGAAGGGAGCGCCCTCGCCAGGGAAGGGAGACTTGACAGACGGAAGAGTTAAGCCAGAGAGTAATCATGGTAAGCAAGGCTCCCCAGCGCCAGCCCGGGCCTGCGCCTCCACCCTTTAAGCTTCTTCTTGACTTTCTTTTGAACGCTTGCCATTATTATTTGTCTTCCCGACGAGAGCCGAGACGCCCCTCGGCGCTCTTAACGGACTAATCTTCTGCCTAATTTGAATGATTTTTGACTTTCTTAACTTGGCTGCGGAGTTGACGTGGCTTCCGTCCTCCATGATGCATGGCCCACTAACTCCCCCTTCCCTCCATGTCGCCCGTGGCTCCGTCCTTGACCCCCCTCGCCCCCATCCTCCACCCTCCGCATCGTCACGTCGAGATCGCCGTCATCGCATCTGCACTCTTCCTCATCCGCACCCTCGTCTTCACTCACAGTAGTCATTAAGCCAGTGAGTCAGCCACAAGGGCTGACTCAGAGATGACAGGATGGCTATAAGCCACTCTGGCAATCTTATACTTCGCCCTCGCTCAAGAAGCCGAATCTCTAAATGCTAATTCACCAACAAAGTAGCCCAAAACCCATACTCTCATAAATACTGTTCATCTAATCGTGTCCCAATTGGTTGTCGGGTAATAAAAAAACAGGCTGGTAACGTATGATTACTGCGGTTCTCTCATAAAATTATAAATGCTAATCCTATTACTTGCTAACCAAAACAGCAGCGCAGATCAAAGCATGTTAAGCTTTTTGTTCCCCTGTTCGGTTTTAGAAAAAGTTTTTTCCGAAAAAGTTAATGATATTTTGATATCAATTTTTTTTTCCTTTTGGGGATTTGCTTAATCTCTCCTGATACCAAATTTTTTCAGCAATTATTCGTATCAACTTCCACAGAAAATGTTCTCATGTAGCTCTGGGTTGCGTCCCAATGTCTCTCTCAGAAGACGACGTCCTGCCTGCTCTCCAGCATCACTCATCAGCATCCGTGTCCGTTCCTGCGCTGCCTCCACTGCCTCTGCTTCTTAATTCACCGGGTCTCGGAGGATGACTAAGCACATGAAAGCCGTTATGCAATTAAAGTGATTTAGTTTCACTTCATTCCATTAGGGATTTCTCTAACCCCCCCAACCACCCCCCCACCCCTCCCACATAAACATGGAAAGATGATACATTAGCAACATTTCCTCCCGAGACACCCGGGCTGTGCGGCAGTAGCGGCAGTTTATAAGCGCATTTGCATAGAATGCAGTGAGGAGATGATTCATTGTTCGTTCATTGTGCCGCTAATAGGCCACAAAAGGGAGCTGCGGGTGAAGCAAGAACCCCGCGCCAGCTCGGCGGCCATGTCTGGCGAGCACGTGACCGACAAGGACGTGGAGATGTTCGCCAGCGTCCGAGAAATCGCTGCCCAGGTGAATGGAAACACTTTTTTGCAGTGAAAAATTTGTTGTTGAGCAAGTCCCCGAACGATAGTGGCCTGAGGTTTGTTACTACCATTAAGCAGTTGCAATGTCTGAAGCTCATGCCTAGGTTACTTTTCCTCTCAACATAGAGCAAAAGAATGACCCAAGCGACCACTGGGTATTAACAAAAGCGAACTGTTCACATTTAATATTATTAGGCTTGACGGCCTTCTCAGATATGTTTTTTTTATAGCGTTGTCTTGAGCTTAAAATCGCTCCCAGAGGACGCTGATGCTTTTCTCCAGGCTAGGACTCCTGGGACACAACTGGAGAAGCTGTCTTTAATCTTTGTTGCCTTGAAATGCTTGAATTTGCTCGTCATGATCATACTTTCAGAGAAATGAAACAAACAACCAAACCAACCCAAAAAAAAATGGGTATTTTGTCATGGACTTTTGTTTATCTGCATTTCATTATCATGGCTTGTTTGCAAAAATCTGACATTCCGAGTGGATTGAAGGACATTTCAGGGAGAATGCTCGAAAGAAATTTGCAGCAGGATACCGTCGCTAAGACTTGTTGTTGCCGCCAATGTTCACAGAGGACGGGATGTCAAACGAACACGGACGCCACGCGATGTCCGGCTGTCATTGAATTTGGGAAGTACGAAATCCAAACGTGGTATTCGTCACCGTACCCGCCTGAATACTCAAGGTAGGTTCCCGCTTGGCCATTCTTTTATTTTCACTTTGTGGCTCGGATTGGCCCTATTGTGTCAGTGTAAAACCGCAGCGTTCCTCCTTGTGTTTTTGTTGTGGTCTTTTTGTTTCAGATTACACAAGCTTTATCTGTGCGAGTTCTGTCTGAAGTACATGCGAAGCAAAAACATTCTCCAGAGGCACACCAAGAAGTGCGGCTGGTTCCACCCGCCGGCCAATGAGATCTACCGAAAAAACGGCCTCTCCGTCTTTGAGGTCAGCCTTGCCTTTCCAGCAAAGAAGCGCACGCTGCGTGAGATTTGTGGGCGGCGGAGGGAGTGAGAAAAATTGACTCTAGAGTGTACGCTTGCTCTTTTTTTTTTTTTTCCGCCCCGCTTAGGTTGATGGAAATGTCAGCAAACTGTTCTGCCAAAACCTTTGCCTGTTAGCCAAGCTTTTCCTGGATCACAAGACCCTGTATTACGACGTGGAGCCGTTCCTCTTCTACATCCTCACAAAGAATGACCACAAAGGCTGTCATTTTGTCGGCTATTTCTCCAAGGTAAGCAATTAGACGCAGAAGGAGGTCATGTCATGTCAAATTTCCCATCCTAATGAATTATGTGTTTTATCGAGGGCAATATGGCCTTCAAACAAAATTGTTTATTATAAAAAATCTCTTGAGATTTTATTTCATTTTAAGTCCACGTCGCCCAGCCCAATTAGAAACGTGACAGTGACAAACATGGACCGAAGAATTTGCTTCCCTCCCAACGTCCTTGTTTCAGAAAGTGTCACAAAAAGGTGCAATCGTGCACAGGAAGTAGTTAATCCTCTCATGCAAAATGAAATGAGGTCTCGCGAGGTGCACATTTTCAAGGCATACTCATCTTTGTATTGCAATCTTTTGGCCGCGTGTAAAGGAAGCGACGGCGTCACGGGCAGGGACAATGGCAGGTGCCGTAAATTGCGCCAGCTTCAGCACAGCTCTTGACACACTTGATTCCTTTTCTCCTTCCCCGCAGGAAAAGCTTTGCCAGCAGAAGTACAACGTCTCCTGCATAATGATCATGCCTCAGTACCAACGGCAAGGATTTGGGCGCTTCCTTATTGATTTCAGTAAGTTCTTCTGTGCTCCATTTTTGCAGCCCCCCCCCGCCGTCAGTCTTTTTTTACAGAAGGCGCTTTCAGCCGCTTCAGTGGTGAACATGTAGTTGGTGGCAAGTTGCTGCGAAAGGATTTAGAGAAGGAACGCCGCATTCTGTTGACAAACATTATTTAAACGACTTTACATTGCGTTGATTCATCAGCCCAACTCCCCCACACACACTTCTACTTAACTCGAGCCACAGCATTGGCCGAAGTGAAATTCCTGATTTCAGCAAGGTTCAAAACAGGGTGTAAAGTGTGCGAGCAATCTTGATCTTTGAGTATTGGGGTAAGTGTTTTAAACTGTGAAATACAGCCGATTATTATTATTTTGGGGTGTGTCTACTGTATGACTACATTTGGGTTTTAGTTCGGTCACTGAGTGGCTGCCAAAATAGAAATTCTGTGTCCCACTTCGATATTCAAGAAGTGATTCACGGAGGATGAGGCGGAGGGATAATGGCGCATTTGATTTCCTGTTCGCTTTGGGGAGCCATTGAGACACACTGTCATATTGAAAACGCGGCGGTAACAAAGACGGGAGGATTAAGGGAGATTGAACGCAGCTGAATTCTCAGCTCTGCCAGGGCTTTATTGGAAGATGCAGTTATGGAGCGCCGAGTTGTTTAGATGAACAGATTTCCCCTGGTGGGATTGTACTGAACAAAGGATCCAAGGGTGATGTAGTCGTTTGTTTATAAAAGAGACATATTATGGAAAAAGAACTTTTTAATGTTTGTGTCCAAATCGTTTGGTCTCCAGAGTGCCTGCCCACCCATCCAGTGGGAAAGTCGATTTGAAGTTTTCCGCCCATTTCGCAAGATCCCTTCTGCCGCGTCACTGTTGCTAAATCCTACAGGTGCCTTGAGATGCACATGACCTGACTTGTGACTTTTCCCAAATACAAGCCGTCGCTTGGCTGATTATTTAATTAATTAATTACAATGCGTTTTGGTTTTGTTTTTGTGTTTTTTTTTGTTTTTTTTTTGGTGCTTGCTTTTGACTTGCAAGCACAAATGGGATACAAGATGATAAAAGAAGTGTGATGAGGATTTTCATCGACGACTCAAGCATACCGCGCTCAGTGTTTGTCCATCAGACTCGCTTGCCTGCTTCTCGGTGGTGGGCGTACAGTAAAACGTGTTCATTAATTCCTTGCAGTTCGTAACGGATGACCCTTAACACGGAAAGGGGTGGGGGGTGTGGAGGGCTGCTATGAAACTAATTACACACAGTTCCGTATTTGTTGTTCTTGGCTGGCTTGTTATTGTCACTCAGGCAGTCTCTTTGAAAGCTAGCTACGTTTTGTCACATCTTTATTTCTCTCCCGCCGGCATCGCTTTTGGAGGAGGGGAGAACTGATTGCTTCTCTTTGACTATTTGAAGGTGAAATCCCAAGCAGGGCGCGATGTCATTTCCTCGCAACGACTGAAATGCAATCTGAATTAAACTGCTTCTCGCCTGACTCAAGTTTTTTTTTTTTTTCTTCTTCTTCTTAAGGTTACCTTCTGACCAGGCAAGAAGGCCAAGCCGGCGTCCATCAGACTCGCTTGCCTGCTTCTCGGTGGTGGGCGTACAGTAAAACGTGTTCATTAATTCCTTGCAGTTCGTAACGGATGACCCTTGACACGGGAAGGGGTGGGGGCGGTGGAGGGCTGCTATGAAACTAATTACACACAGTTCCGTATTTGTTGTTCTTGGCTGGCTTGTTATTGTCACTCAGGCAGTCTCTTTGAAAGCTAGCTACGTTTTGTCACATCTTTATTTCTCTCCCGCCGGCATCGCTTTTGGAGGAGGGGAGAACTGATTGCTTCTCTTTGACTATTTGAAGGTGAAATCCCAAGCAGGGCGCGATGTCATTTCCTCGCAACGACTGAAATGCAATCTGAATTAAACTGCTTCTCGCCTGACTCTTTTTTTTTTTTTTCTTCTTCTTCTTAAGGTTACCTTCTGACCAGGCAAGAAGGACAAGCCGGCTCCCCCGAGAAGCCGCTGTCAGATCTGGGTCGCTTATCCTACCTGGCGTATTGGAAAAGTGTCATCCTGGAGTACCTTTATAGGCAGACGGATAAACACGTCAGTGTTAAAGGCATAAGCAGGGCCACGGGGATGTGTCCGCACGACATCGCCGCCACTTTGCAGCACCTCGGCATGATTGACAGACAGGATGGACGGTCAGTGTGCACACCGACACCGCTGGGCTCGCTTTCTCTTGCACTCCCTCGCCACCTTCTATGTGCGTCTGTGTGTGTGTCGTCTTGACTTATCCAGGCCAGCGGGTATTTTTAACGGTGTATCCATTTAGTGCGGTAGAATATTGACAAAAGTAAGTCAGGTTAGGCACCCCAAGGACAGTAGCGCGGAAATGCCGATATATTTGTACGTTGTGTATGACTGTGGATTTGACGCCACGGGATTTGTTGTGTGCGATTCAGGGTGGTGCTGATACAAAGAGAACGACTGATCCACCGGCACATGCAGAGACTGCGGACCGACCCGCGTCGTCACAAGGTGGACCCCGAAGCCCTGTGCTGGACGCGCTCCACGTCGCTCAACGCCGTCCTGTCCGAGGAGGAGCGAGAAGCGGAGATGGATGTAGGTTCCCCATTCCGACGGCGTGTGTTTACTTACGCTCGCCTGTCTCCGTGAATATTTGTATGATGAGCTGCCGAGTTCACGAGGAGGCCAGAAGCAGGCGGCGCGCACTCGCTGTCAACATTGCTGTAAATCAGTTCAAGGGATTTGACAGCACTTTAGATGCACGCTTTGAATGATTGGCGAACCTCAGATCTGAGACCTGGATGTCGTTTCTCATACAATGAGTAGACAGTCAACCCGCGCTATTTGCAGACCAAGGCTACCAAAAATCCACG